CCTGAGTGCAGAGCCAGGAGTAAACACTGTGCATGGCCGGGTGTGACCCAAAAAGCAAAAAAACAAAGTGTCAGGGAAGGAAGTTGCTGAGGCCAAACAGTGAGTGACCGGGTGGAAAAGCAGTCCCCACACTTGCTGAGCTGGGGTGAGGATGCGGATAGAGCAGAGGATGCAAACAACCTAGGAGTGGGGCTTGAGGAGAGTCAACCCCTGGCTTGACGCTCAGCGCTGCCCCAGTCCAGTTACCAGGCTTCAGTCATAAAACGGATTTATCCATGACGCCTCCCATCACGTCATTTGTTCAGAGACGTAAATGCAGGGAGCGCCTGCTGCCCGGAGAGCCCCTACGGCATTCGACTCACAGACGAGGACACCGAGGGGACGTTTCCCTCGCAGCAGAGTGTCGCCAAAGACCTGTCGCCAGTGCCTGGAAGTGGCCGTTTTCCCGACGGGAAGCTGAAACCCTGTCTTCCCTCCTCCCCTGCTGCTTCTGCTGGACAAGAGCATCCTCGCATGGGTATGCGGCCCAGCCGCTTCTAATGGAGCTGCGGCCGGCTCCTCCTGGGGAAAGCGATTTCTCTGCGATGTGCTGAGTGGTGAGGCTAATACCGTTAGGGTCCAATAAACACAGATTAAGGTCATTTGCGTTCCCTCCTTCCCCCTCTGACTGCTTCTGCACCGCTGGCAGCTCCAGCCCTGCTGGAAGGACCCGAAGACTAAGGAGGGGTGTCCAGACTGGAGAGCCCGACCCGAAAGGCCGTAGACCGGCTCCAGAGCACTGGGTGGAACACATCTTCCTCTCTCAGAATCAAAGGTGGAAATAAGGGGTTGACCCTGGCCCCTGAGCACTGCTGGGGTGATCCTGGCAGGTCCCAGACCCAGATTCCAGCAGTTCCACAGCTTTGAGCCCAAAAATTGAACGGTTAGGTCCAGTTCACTAGTAACACTGAAAGTGGCCATTAGGTCCCCTGAGGACTGCTTGGAGCACCCCACAAACACACTGTCACTGTCCTCTCGTTGTTCATCGATTTGCTCGAGTGGGTCCAGTAACATCACCATTGTAAGACTTGTTACTGTGTTTGGCATATCGAATACGTCACAGGTAGCTAGCCAGGCTTTGCTGCGCGGGTGAGATACTCTTGGTAGCTTGCTGGGCTCTCCAAGAGGGGCGGAGGAATCAAACCTGGGTCGGCAGGGTAGGCTGCGTGCAAGGCAAACGCCCTACCGCTGAGCTATCGCTCCAGCCCAAAGGACTGAATTTGGGATGAGAAGTTCTAAATCCTACCTCACCTTTGACCTGCCCTGTCCCCCTACATCTGTTATCATAGCCTTCATTCCCCCCGTATAAGGCTTTCGACTCCTTGCCCAAGTTCCTCAGTTTGCTCATCCACAAAGGGGCACATTAATGCCAGCCTCAAAGTGTTTTTTTGGAATTAAGAGAAAAACATGTAAGAAGTTTCCACAGTACTTCCACGATAGGACAGTGGGTAGGCATTTGTCTTGCACATAGCTGACCTGGGTTTGCTCCCCCAGTACCCCATCTGGTCCCCCAAGACTGCCAGGAGTGATCCCTGAGTGCAGAGCCAGGAGTAAGCCCTGAGCACAGTTGGGTATAGACAACCCCTCCCCATCAAAAAAAAAAAAAGCTTTCACAGGACAAGGAGCAAGGAGAATTTCCCCTGAGGGCGGGGCAGCACCCTGGCAGTGGGTCTTATCTCTGGCTCTCACTCAGGAATCACTTCTAGTGGGGCTTGGGGGACCACATGGGGTGCCAGAGATGGAACCCAGGGTCAGCCACATGCAAGGCCTCCCTGCTGTACTCTCTCCAGCTACAACAATCACTTATTTCCTCCCAAGTTTCCTTCTGGCTGACGTTCTCTGAGCCTATGAAAATATCCCCCAAATTGTCTATTGAGTGAATTCAACGGCAGGGTGGCTGCCACAGCTGCAAGAAGAAAATTTCTGGTGATGCGGCCACAGAGCCAGGCCAGGCCCAACTCACAGTTCATCTAGTCTTACCCAGTCTGGAAGCTTCTCTCACCTGTTCCACTGCTAGAAAGGCTGGTTGGCCTGTATCAAGACTCCTTCCTAGCCCCGCCAGGGCCAGGCTGACATTCATCCTGGCTCCTCAGGCGAAGCTGTTTCCGGCTTCCCACAGTCACAGGGAATCAGGCCTCACTTAGCAAGACCCCGAAAGGCATCGGCAGGCTTCTGTCTGCCCTTGGACGATGTTGCAGAGTGCAACTGTATTTATGGCGGCCTCTAGTGACAAACCCCCCAAACAGCATGCTAAGTAGAGCGGGCCCCCCAAAGGGATCTCGGGCTAAAAGGCCCCAAGTTCTCATCTTTACTGGATGAAAGAAACTGAACACTCGATGTGCTTCAGCCAGGATCATCCAAGGCTTCACAGCACTGTCCACCTTCTCCAATACTAAGCAGCAGAGGTTTCAGATGGGTCCAGAATCGGCCTTATCTGCCATAAGAACCAAGAACACCCGTCTATGTTGGACCAGCCAGCCTTACAAGCTCCCAGCTGCTGCACTTGGCTTCTCAATTACTTGCAGAGGACACTGGGGACAAGATGCCCCAGTCTCATATGCGCTCAAGAATTCAGGGGGTCACCAGTAACAATAGCTGGAACATCCGCGTTGGGGGTCTCTCGAGGTCTGTTCTAGTCCATTTACCTTCCTGGCATCAGTCCGAAGAGGCTAGGACCATTAGCACATTTTCAGTTGAGGAAATAAGACCCATTAAGTGAAGAATTGTATTCCAGGGCACGAAGTGGCGAGGCTGGGATCTCAACTGGTGGGCTGGTTCTGAGCGCCTTTCAGTGACATGACTGTTGGTCACATCTCTCCTGCCTTTTCGGGGACTTGTAGCCACACCGTCATGCCCACTCTAGTGTCTACACACTGTGATCTGATGCCTACAGGCCCTATGGTGAGAATGGAAAGAGACGGGCGTCATCTCTAAAGCTCAGCCTGAGCCGTGGAAGTCAGGGGCCGCTATAGCCCATTGCGTGCTGCCAGCTACAAAGGTCCGGTTAGGGTTCTGACTAACCCCATTTTCTTCAGAAAACCATCCCTTCACTTGCACCCCTAATTTAGTATTGGACAAAGTGACCTCCAGACCACTGCTCCCCATCTCTTGGGAGCAGGTAGAGTGTAGGAGAATCGGGAGCTGGAGAAAGAGTATTGCAGGTAGGGAGTATGCACACAGCAGACCTGAGTTCCGTCCCCAGCACCATACACAGTCCCTTGAGCACCACAAGAAATTGAGCCTTGAGCATGGCCAGGTGCGCCTGCCACCAAATCAACAGGACGGGATACCTGGCAGGATGCTGCATCTGATTCCTAGCAGGCCTCTGCTGGGCTGGTAGATTTAAGTGGCCCTGAGCCAGGGTCCTTGGGGGAACATGCATTTTAGAGGCTCAGTGTCCCCTTTTACCCTCCATACCAGGTAAGAACTTGCATACTCGTTTTCTCCAACTATAGATTCGCCCAACCTTCGCACCCAAGGTGGTCCTTCCTGTTCCTTCATTAGCTCCAGCAAACCCATCTTTGCGAATCTCCATCAGACTTAGAGACCCATTTTATCTTCTCATAGGCATCCCGCAGCTCCATCTGAGATGTGACATGAGCTTTCAGTGCCCTAGAATATCCCATATTGTGAGCTATGCCCTAACTCACCCTGAAGAGGTGTGCTCTCTGTGACAAAAGAGATTCACTGGGGTCCCTTTGAGGGGAGAGGGGCAGTGTGGGGCATACCCAGGGGTACTCTGAGGCCACTTTGAGCTATCCCCTGGCAGAAGCAGGAATTCCTCACTGCTAACCAGCAGAGGCACCAGGAACCACGCAACAGTTCAGGCTGTGCTGAGCCACACCCTCCATAAAAACAAGCATATGGTATCACTTGGCATGTGCGGTGTGCTTTTCTAGAATCTGCGGAGCTATGCCTAAGCTGCTCTCTTCCCAAGTGCACCCAGAACCTTCCAAAAGCAGCAATGGTACATTGCAGCACTCCCCTGCTCTGAGGGAGAACAGGGATTTACAATAAGGACAATAATTCTGGGAAGCTGATACTCGGATGCTTATGGCAGATCTGATTAGGTCTAATCAGATCTAAACTGGCCCAATCTAAACATAGTTTTTTTCTTCCTCGGAGTCTAGAAGAGTACTCTGCTCCCCAAAATCATCTCTGTGAAGTTACAAAGTCATTTTCAGAGCTAGGATCTTTCTGCTGTTTACTGGGCAAAAAAGGAGAACGGAGAATACCTGAACATGGGGAAAGCTTAGAAAACAGTGTTGTTTGGCTAGTCTATCAAGCAAATCATTTCCAAAATGTACTGTGAGAAGGAAGGACCACTAAGTTAAGGCTACAGTCCATCAAATGAGGAGCCACCAGGTTAAGAAAGCAAGAATACACTGCCCTGGGGGGCCAGATGGACAGTACAGCAGGTGAGGGATTTTACCTTGTAAATCCCTGGCATCCCATAGGGGCCCCAAGCATTGCTAGGTACTGTGCAAAGCCAGGCGCAACCCCTGAGCACCTCTGGGTTTTGCCCTACCCCCCCCCAAGTGCACTATCCCAAGGCCCAGAATGACAAGGTGTATCCCTTGCAAGTACAAGGATGGTTCAGGTCTCTCACGCAAATGCCTGGCTATTCCACAGGCGGTTCCTCCTCATCCGTGTCTTCTTCTGGTACCACCTTTCAAGTCTTAAATGCAGGAAGTCCACGGAAGAAAGACAGACTGAAAATGGTGTAAAGTTCTTCAGATGATCCTTGAATATTTCAGGTTAAAATGGCTGTTAGAACCTCCTACTACAAAATCTGAAATCAGTCCACAGCAGTGATTTCAACCATTAATGAATATTTATTTTGGAAGTGCCTATGTTTTACACAGATATAACTTCCTTTCACTTACCAATTCTCAAAAAAATCACAAATATCAAAACACACACACACACACACACACACACACACACACACACACACACACACCCCAAAGCTAACTTAACATATAAAATCTCCTATGTGGTTTCTCTAATGTCTATGTAAAAAAAAAAAAAAATTTATTTTTTCTTTTCAAAGTGGTGTTTCTCCTTTAAGAAAATACCCCTTTTTAAGGAAAATTCAGTCTGTCTTTATGCTCACTACAGATTTCTACTCCTTCCCGAGGGAAAAAAATGGCCAATGCTTCTGTTTCCTTTTAATAAATTCGCTTCTCGATTATTACACATTATCATTCCCCACTTGACACCTTCCCAGAAATTTGATTGTTGGATGCAGTTCTCATTTGGCAAAAATTCAACATGGCTTTGCGTGGGCTGTCTAAGTGTCAGAAACAGCAGTGCGGATGCTCTGGTTTGGAGAGAGAGGCGTACATTCCCTGGAAGAATGAACGAGGGAGACCGAAGCAGGGCGTGCCAGCGTTGGGAAGGCTGACAGACACTACTTGGGTTGGAATTCTGAGGCTGTCGGCTATCAATGGCTGCAGTGTAGGCCAGAATATGAATCCCTGCAGAAAGTTTGGTTGGGGACTCTGGAAGCACAGCCTGCTTTGTCGCGGTCCACAGGTGCCAGAGCAGACGTGCACAGGAGCAGGGAGGGCCGCTGGCCAGGAGCAGTCAGCTGTGAATGTTCACGTGTGAGCACTTCTGCGGGGCACGGGGAAATCACGCTGAACACGGGGCAAGAGAAGAGGCATCACGTTGAAACACACTTCTGTCCCTAACTCACCGAGACCCCCGGGCTCCTTAGCACCATGACTGTGAGGCCAAAATGAAGTTCTGAGTTGTGCAGATTCTCAGTCATCTGGAAGCTGATTTGCTGGGGCCACCTCGGGTCAGGGACCGGGGGGCAGCAAATCTACCCGGAAGGGTACGCCTTAATGATCTTGACATCGTCCACTGGGCGGTCCTGCGAGTTTGTTTCCACCATTCCCACTCGATTCACCATTCCTATGCCTTGGCACACGCGGCCAAAGATGGTGTGTTTGCCATCAAGCCACTGGGTGGGAGCCAGGGTCACGAAGAACTGGCTGCCGTTGGTGTCGGGTCCTGCGTTGGCCATGGCGAGGATTCCGGCTCCTGGGAAGAAAAGGGAAGAGACAAGAAGAGGCGGAGGGGACCCCCGACAGCTTGAGTCTGGAGCTGCTTATACCACCCTGGGGACCCAAAAAGCCAGACTTTGTCCTGTCCTCAGTCATCAACTCTCTGACTCCCCCAGCTTGTGTGTATCCCTGTACCAGCCTGGGGGGGAATGCTGGCCTATCTTTCCAGTCTCTTTATGCTGATCCCCACTGGCTGCTGGATCCCGATCCCCATAACTCTCAACACCCAGTAGGTCTCCTGCTTCTGTGAAGAGACATGTCTATTCCCAGTTGAGACCATCAACACTCGACACTCAGACCCGCGCCCCGATGGCTGGGAACTCAGCGAGGCACTCCTTTCTCTAATCTGCCGGGGCTCCTTGAGGCACCTCAGCCGGGCAGCTGCATGGCACTGTGCCATGGTGTCAGGCACCCACCCTGGATCGCAGCCAGCACGGAAGCTTTTCAGACCACTCTCCCCTCTTCCCACCCGGTCCAGCCACATGACAGGCTTACCGGTGAATTTCAAATCCGGATGAAGCTCGTCTTCAAACTGCTTACCGTAGATGGATGCACCGCCTCGACCTGCCAGATCAGAGAGAAACCCATCAGCCACCCCACATTCTACCTCACAGCGGGAACGACGCCCGAGGTCAAAGCACTTCTTTGGTGTATCGCTGTCACTGCATCACTGTCATCCTATTGGTCATCGACTGCCTCGAGCAGGCCCCAGTAACATCTCCTTCGTCCTAGCCCTGAGATTTTAGAAAGTGCCACATTCGAGGCTCTTTCAGGGTCAGGAGAATGAGACCCATCATTGTTCCTGGGTTTTGGCATACTGAATACGCCACGGGGAGTTTGCCAGACTCTGCCGTGTGGGCAGGATACTTCCGGTAGCCTGCCAGGTTCTCTGGAGTAAGAACTAGATAATCCTTTGGTGTAAGGAAAGGAAGAAGCAGTGAGCACACCTAGACCCCTGCGAGCGATACTGTCACCAGCAGAGCCAAACACTGATGTGGCACATTCAAATCACTGGTTTGACATGATTTAGGTAAGACGTTTCTTTAAAATAGAAAAAAAAAGGTGTTTTTTTCGCTGCTTATTAAAGTAAAGCAGGCTGATTGCCAAAAACATATTGAAGAAGAACATTAGCAAAAGAATATTAAAGTCCCCTGTAACCTAACTACCGTTCCTAGTGTGATATGGGGTTTTTTAAATGAGTGTTCAAGATAGGAGTGGCCCCAAGTCTTAGCCCTCTGCCTACGACAGACTTGCTCGGCCATCAGCAGTCGCTCCTGCTAGGTGCAGGTCTGCCTCCGAATCCTTCCCCAACACAAAAATCCAGGGAGCCCCCTGAAATGGATCCGAGAGAGACAAGAATCAAAACTCATTTGCTGTTCTTACCCAGATGAATAAAAAGGAAATTCACCAGGTCTATGAAAACGTGCCTGGAAAGAAAGAAGGGCCCCGAGAAGTGACAATGTGACACAGAGGACTTGCTCAGCAGGCAGAAAGCACCTGGGCAGAGAGGAAAGCCAGGAGCTGGAGAGCAGGAAGAGCCATAGCACGGGAAGGCCCGCCCGGAACACCCCCACCTGCTACTGATGTTCTGTCTACAAGAGGGGCGTGCTGTACAGGCACACAGGTTTTATTTCTAGAGCAAGGTGGTAAGTCATAGTGTTATAGACGGGTTTCAAAGAAAATAAAAGGGCTCAGAGAACCGAACTCTCCTACAATTCTTTTAAGTACTTTTTTTGGGGGTGGGGGGTAGGGCACCCTTAGCAGGGCTCAGGGCTCACTCCTGGTGGTACTCAGGGTGCCAGGTTCGAGCCTGGGTTAGCCGTGTGCAAGGCAAGTACCAGACCCACTGCTGAACTATTGCTCTGGTCCCTCCTCCTGATGAATTCGTTAATCGACCATAAGCCCTGTTGAACTCCTATTTCTCCAGGTTGGCCAGTCAAGACAAGCAGCCTGGAACTGAGTGAACATGCTTGCGTCTGCTTCTCTGCTCGCCTGGCAGCCAGAAATCAGCCCAGATGGCGCTCACCTCCTTCCCAGCCTGCAGCGGAAGGAGCATGTTTAAAGCAACATGTTCACCCCTGGAGGACCCCGGGCCCACCTCGGGTGTTTCCATGGTGAAGTCTTAGCTCTACCTTTCAGGACGCACCACTGCAGGGAGCCTGTCAAGGCCCCCCCATTCTCATGTGAGGAGCCATGGGGGTGAACCCTAACAGACTGAAGGAAACCTCCCACCTGCCTACCTATGCTTCTGGAAATTTACTCAACTACCAGATTAAAAATTCCAACTGGCTAGCTATCCCCGAACAGCAATTATGTAACCAAGAAGTTCCCTCTAATGACACAGACACAGTTTTTGCCAGGCGAGGAGGGAGAAGAGGTAGCAGGTGTTGGTGGAATGGGCTTGTGCTGAAGAGGAGCGGAAAGGGCTGTGGGGACAGACTGAGGGAATGAGCTGAGCTGAGGGGCCTGAGTGGCAGCACAGCAGAGAGGGTGTCTGCCTTGTATGCTGCAGAACCCAGGTTCAATCCTCAGCATCCTGTATAGTGTCCCCCAAGCACTTCCAGGAGTAATTTCTGAATGCAGAGCCAGGAGTAACACCTGAACCCAAGAAGCACCCCCAGAGGCTGGAGAGATAGCACGGTGGGTAGGGTGTTTGCCTTGCATGCGGCCGACCTGGGTTCGAATGCCAGCATCCCATGTGGTCCCCTGAGCACCGCCAGGAGTAATTCCTGAGTGCAGAGTCAGGAGTAACCCTTGAGCATCACCGGGTGTGACCCAAAAAGGAAAAAAAAAAAGGCACCCCCCCAAAAAAAAAGAGCTGAGTTGAGGATGCAGGTCAGAAGCGTGTGGGTCCAAAGGAAGCTCAGGGCAGCCAGAAGGGAAGGCCTAGAACCTGCCGTCTTGATGTTTCTGCCCTCTTCTCTTCCAAAAACGGAGTGAGACCTACCTCCTAAGTGGCAGCACAGACAGGAAAGAACTATGGGATGGGCCCACCAGGAGTCAGTGGTGACGCCCGGGGCCGTAAGACTCAGAAGGCAAAGAAGAAAGGACAGACCAAGCCCCACTAGCTCCAACTGGTTTGGGCCACCACGGCCCCACCGACCCTTTTTATAACTTACTTCAACTCGGTAGTGTCTGCCACAAAATGTCAGAAAGACAAATAGTTCCCACCCAGATAACCCACCCAAATATTCCTCTGGGCATGCGGCGTGGGGGGAGATGGCCAGGGGACCGGGGATGATGAAAGGATTCTCCAGTGCACAGCAGGCTAGAGATGTGATGACTGACAAAACCAACCAACCACTTGGAAGTTTTGCAGCCAAAAATTAACTCCACCCTCTCAAAAGTTCTTTCACTTTACGGACATGTGTTTTAAATAATTTATTCAAAGTACTGAATATTTCAGGGCTGGGGCGACAGCACAGCGGGTAGGGCGCTTGCCTTGCACACGGCAGACCCTGCTGCCCCGGGTTCGATTCCTCCACCCCCCTTGGAGAGCCCGGCAAGCTACCGAGAGTATCCTGCCCACACGGCAAGGCCTGGCAAGCTACCTGTGACGTACTCAATAAGCCAAAAATGGCAGCAACAAGCCTCACAATGGAGACGTTACTGGTGCCCACTCGAGCAAATCGATGAACAACGGGAGGACAGTGACACAGTGCACTGCTATTGAATATTTCAGACATTCAAAAGATACAAAGAATAATGACAGCTTTTCTTGTGTCCCCCAGCCCCCATCCAATATAAAGTACGGCAAATCTAGTCCAAGACCACAAGCATCTCTAAAGCCATCTTCCCAACCGCCCAACCGTAACAAATGCTTTGAAGAATCAAGCACTTAGCCCTTTTCAGGCAATCTCTCTTCTGACCGGAGCCTGCCGTTTTCCTTTTTACTACTTCCGTAAGCTTCAGAAGAAAGTCTATGGTTTTCATTTTCTATTTTTTTCACTTGTTTGGGGTTCATACCCATACCCACTGTGCTCAGGCTGTGTTTTGAGCCAACTCCTGGCTCTGGTGGGGCTTAGGAACCACATGAGGTGCTGGGGATCAAACCCAGAATGGCCACATGTGAGGCAAGCACCTCAGCCTCTGTACTATTACTCCAGTCCCCGGTCACTCATTTTCTTTCTTGTTTTTTTGGTTTGTTTGCTTATCACAGTGCTGGGGATCGAACCCAGAGCCTTAAACATGTGAGACGTGTGCTCTACCACTGAACCGCATTCCTAGCCCACAAATACATAAAAATTTTGGTTTTCTGGACCACACCAGTTGTGTGCAGGGCTTAATCCTGGCTGTGTCCAGGGATCGCTCCTGTTGGGGCTCAGGGGGACCATATGGGGTACCAGGGATTGAACCCAGGTTAGCCACGTGCAAGGCAAGTGCCCTACCCACTGTACTACCACTCTGGCCCATTTTCAGTTTCTTAAAACAAAATCCCACTTTTCCCTATTCCCAACAGTCTCCTCTCTTCCTTCCTTCCCAGCGCTGACAAGCTGGACTTAGGGGCCAAGGAAATGTCTCAACGGGATGGAACAAAGGCTCTGGCTGAGGGAGAGGCCTCTGGACACCACAGGGTGGGGCTGTCACACAAAAGACAATGAAGAAGGACTGGTGGTCCCTAGCGCGTGGCACAGCACACTCGCTGGATCCAGCCCCTGGTACCACACATGCACACACACAAAACAGCTATGCCACCACCGTGTCATGGGATTGTTAGAAGAATTACAAATGCGGAAACATACGAAAGTCAGGGGGAGTAGACAGGAGGCGAACACAGAATCACGCGCCCCTTTAACTGCAGTAACCCAAGAAGTGGAGGTGGCTCCATCTTGGGAGTCTGTCTGCCTGGGCTGATTCCAGTTCCTCTGCTCTCAGTCCCCAGCCACTGGCACACTGTTCTGTGCTCCGTGTGAATTATCTTGCTTCTTTCACTGAGAAAACAGCAGAAGAGAGCTTTCACAAGATCCTATCACCAAATCCACTTTCTCCCTCTCCCCATGTACCTTCCCTTGTCACCAACGCACTGTGACAATTTCACTACCACATTCCTAATCCCATTCACTTTTCTTTCCCTCTGTCCCAATGAGTACCAGCTGCCATGCCCACTATCCCAGGGCAGGCAAGGACGCAATCAAGGATTTTTTCTCAGCACCAGCTACCAAGTCCGGGTCCCAGTACTTGGGGCAGGATCTGTGAAAGTGCTCAACCTTTAAAGAGTACAGAAACTTCTGTCCCGCCCCTCCATGCCCAGCGGGGCTCAGGGCTTACTCCTAGGTGCTCAGGGAATCATGTGTGGTGCCAGGGTTGGCCACGTGCAAGGCAAGAGGTAGTTCCCACTGCTCTACCTCTCAGGCCTCTTACCAGTTTTTCTTTCTAATGGATATTGCCAATCGGCTTAAAAACAAGTTACTAAGGGGCCAGAGACAAAGCAAAGCGCTTGCCGTGCGAGTGGTTGACTCAGGTTCCATCTCCAACATGCCATATGGTGCCCCAAGCGCCACTAGGAGGCATCCCTAAGTGCAGAGCCAGGAGCAGCCCTGAGCACTGCCAACTGTAGCCCCCCA